CGGTGAAAGGGCAGCAGAACAGAACGCAGAAACAGAGGGAGACAGAGAGACAGATCCAATCTCGGAGGGGCTCTCGCCCCTCCCATGCCATGGTGGCCAAGGACCAGAGGGGAAACCCTTCTCCCATCTAGGGAAGAGGTCCAGGAAGAAGAAGACGAAGGGCCCCACTCTCCCCTTCTCTTCTAGTGGCGCCGGAACGCTGCCGTGGCCATCGTCATCATCACCGCGATCTACTCCAACACCTCCGCCATCTTCACCAACATCTCCATCACCTTCCCCCCTCTATCTACAGCGTTCCACTCTCCCGCAACCCGATGTACCCTCTACTTGAACATGGTGCTTTATGCTTCATATTATTATGCAATGATTTGTTGCCATCCTATGATGTCTGAGTAGATTTTCGTTGTCCTATCGGTGGTTGATGAATTGCTATGATTGATTTAATTTTCTTGTGGTTATGTTGCTGTCCTTTGGTGCCCATCATATGATTGCGCGCGTGGATCACACCATAGGGTTAGTTGTATGTTGATAGGACTATGTATTGGAGGGCAAGAGTGACAGAAGCTTCAACCTAGCATAGAAATTGATGCATACGGGATTGAAGGGGGACCAATATATCTTAATGCTATGGTTGGGTTTTACCTTAATGAACGTTAGTAGTTTAGGATGCTTGCTAATAGTTCCAATCATAAGTGCATAGAATTCCAAGTCAGGGATGACATGCTAGCAGTGGCCTCTCCCACATAATACTTGCTATCGGTCTAGTAAAGTAGTCAATTTCTTAGGGGCAATTTCGCAACTCCTACCACCACATTTCCACACTCGCTATGTTTAGTTTATTGTGTCTTTACATAAACAGCCCCTACTTTTTATTTATGTAATCTTTGTTATCTTGCAAATCTATCCAACAAACACCTACAAAGTACTTCTAGTTTCATACTTGTTCTAGGTAAAGCGAACATCAAGCGTGCGTAGAGTTGTATCGGTGGTCGATAGAACTTGAGGGAATATTTGTTCAACCTTTAGCTCCTCGTTGGGTTCGACACTCTTACTTATCGAAAACTGTTGCGATCCCCTATACTTGTCGGTTATCACTGAGCATCATGAAATTAGTGATGGAGGAAGGTTGATGATGACAATAGCGACGAATTCCCCTCTCCGGAGCTTCGAACGGACTCCAGATCAGCCCTCCCGAGAGTGTCTAGGGCTTGGAGGCGGCTCCGTATCGTAAAACGTGATGAATCCTTATCTCTGAATTTTTTCTCCTCGAACAAGTATATATAGAGTTGGAGTTGAGGTTGGAGGAGCACTAGGGGGCCCACGAGGCAGGCGGCGCGCCCCCACCCTCATGGACAGGGTGTAGGCCCCTTGGCCTTGATTCTTTCGCCAGTATTTTTTATATATTCCAAAAATAATCTCCGTTGATTTTCAGGTCATTCCAAGAACTTTTATTTCTGCACGAAAATAACACCATGGCAATTCTGCTGAAAACAGCGTCAGTCCGAGTTACTTCCATTCAAATCATGCAAGTTAGAGTCCAAAACAAGGGCAAAAGTGTTTGGAAAAGTAGATACGACGGAGACATATCAGGAGCATCCTACGATCATCCCCATGTCCACTTCGACCACTCCCCATGACACAAGGGTACATAAGACGAGACCTCGAACACACGCCATTGGACACAAGGTTAACTCGCTCCTCACCGAACCTTCACTTTCTACATGTGAGACATGGCTACTACCTCAAATGTGTGAGCTATGCATGTCCAGGAACCAGGAGGAAGGCCATGGATCAACTAGGAGCATTGGACAAGACGACGAGAACACCAAGCGCGAGGAACAAGAGATAGGGCTGACATCAAGTCACAACCACCGGACGACCGGTCCTTACCGGACATCCGATGCCTGGAGGTTCAGCCTGCCATAACAGCTACAACCGAGGAACTCTTCAGCGACCGAACGACCGACCGAGACCAGACGTCCGACACGTCCCAGGTGCCGGACGACCGAGCGCCACCGGACAACCGGTGCCACGGCGACAGAAGGAAAATAGCAAAAGTCCGAAGACTTCCGGATGACCGGCCCTTCTTGAGCCTCTGGACGTCTGACACCCGCCGGACGTCCGACGCCTGTCTGTGCACAGTGTTGTGGGCCGAAGCCCATGTACCCCTCACTTACCCTTTCGTGTCCCTAGACTATATATACTCCTCCACCTCCTCCTAGTTAGGGTTAGCAAAGTAGTAGCTCATTTAGAGATAGAGCTTTGCTCATCCATACGGATCTACTCCACGAGAGAGACCGCGCCCCCTACGGAGAAGATCCATCTTGGATTCAAGACCCCTCACGGGAAGATCCCTCGTGGATTCAGGATCTCCTTATGGAGAAGACCCGGTTAACCTATGTATCATCCTTTGTTGGATACGGATCGTGTATCTCTTTGTGTTTCGAGGATCTAGCACATGTGTGATCATTCTTGTTGGTTTGAGTGATTCTCTCGTGTT